ACAGTAGTTATTAGCCCAACTACTGCCTCTATGCTTCCATGACTTTTCACAAGCTCCTCATACAGAAGGGCAGCATCCTCTTCCTTGCCATGCCTGAGCTTGAAGGAAGCAGCCTGTTGCATTATAACACTGAGCTGGTTGTCCTCAGTCATGGCAGATTTCCACCATTTGATTGCAGAGTCAAGTACAGCAGCAGCACCATTTATATCTCCAGCACGTTCTTTGAGAGCAACAAGAGTGGCAACAGTGGCAGGCATGTGCTGGATATCAGGTACCTTAGCAAGGGATTCAGCTGCAATTTGATGATGGCCAGCAGCAGCAGCAACTTGTGCCCTTGCTAAGAAAATAGTCTTTGATTTTTCAGGGAATTTCTCAGCGAACTGACCCAACATTTCTTCTGCTTTCCCTGCCTTGTTTTCTCTCACCAAGACAGCAGCTTGAAGCAGTACTGGCATCACACTGTCAGGAAACAGCTCTTGCAAAAAAGCAACAAGTTCCCGCGCCTGTAGAATTTCAACAACAAATGGAAGAAATAAGAACAGGAAAATTCATTAGCTGGCAGTCTGTTTTTTTTTTATAATTTTTTTTTAAAAAAAAGAGGGCTGAAAAAACAATGCAGATTAAAAGTGAGAAATGCAGAATCCCAAAATGAAAAAACCTGATCCATCTTATTTGCATGAATAAGTAGAAGAACCCGATTCGCATAAATTGTCTCCTTTTGTTTTGGTGAAAGCTTCAAGTCAATTGCATGCGCAAGCTGAAACTTCCGTGAGTCTTTCTCTTTAAGCCGATCAAGTTTCCTTAAGCTGTCAGATATATCTTTGGGACCTTTCATTGCAATAAGGTTGTTCACTGCCACTGCAAGAGATGGCTCATCTGCCAAATTTCGGTTTACAATGTCTGTATAAGCTCCAACAGCCTCTTGTGTGTGACCAAGAAGCTGATAAAGCAAGCCGATTCACATTAGTGGCTGTGTTACCTCTCTTTGCAGAAAGGAGAGAAACGAAGGGGAGAAAATGAGGAAAATGCTTGCAGAATGTTGTTATTTTACCTGCTGGACATAAGCTAATTGGACAGCTATAGGAGCTAGTTCAATCTCTACATCATCATCAGCAAGGTTCTCTTCTGTAAGTGTTTCCTGACCAATTCTGGCAAAAAAAAAAAGGATGAAACAAAGAAAAAGCATGCATTTCAGCATTTGATGTCAGTAAATTTATAATCCTCAACTATCTGGATACATCTAATTACCCCAGTGCATAAGCTAAGCAACAGATTATCTTATATCAAAATAAAAATAATTAACTGCCCAAAAGACAAAAATAGACAGACTGGCAAGATCAAAAACAATTTGAAAAATATGCAATTTAAGAAATAGTTAATTAGCACGTTAAAATTAGAAGCTATACAAAGCCTTCACTAGAAAATGAATATCAGCACCTACGAGAACAAACCTCCACAATCATACTAAAAATATCAATTCCCTCAAAATCCAGTACACTAGACTGGAAAACTTACTCTAAGATGAAACTAACAAAACTTTGATTATGATAGGTTTTTTTGCTCAATACTCTCATTATGATACGAGTTCAACTTTTAACTTCACTTTTGAACATTAGCTTTTTCTCCATCTGAAAAGGGATTGATAGAACATAATCATCTGAAAGCTGATTTAATATCTACACTTCTTTTACAAAAATTTCTCAAGCATTTTATTTAGTGCTTCAAGAAAAGAAAGAGGTGCCTGTTTTAAAATTATACCAGATAGAAATGCATAGGATTGGCCAAAAAAACCTATATTGAAAAGAAGTGAAATGATCCAAAAACCAATCAAGCCACAAATGCAGGCAGCTAGCATGTTTAAACTATAATAGTAAAATTCCTAGATACAGAAGGCCCACCAACATATGCTTGATACTTTTCTCGCTTTCTCTGAAGACACTATTACAACATGATACTAGCCCAAAACATAAGCCATCCTCGGATCTACTAATAACATTAAACATTAACCATTCCATCAACAACTATTGAGTAACAAGAAAATCTTTTCATCACAAATGAACATCCAAACAAAAATTACTGCAGTACCTTCGTGCAGTGAGCAAGAGTTGCTCAGCATCCTTGTGCTTATTTCCTTCAATTAAAGAACAAGCAATATTATATGCCAACTCAAAGCTGCTAGTTGCCTTAACCTTAAGTGCATCCAAAGTTCCCTGAACTTCAGAAGCTCTCCCAGCCGAAATCAAACCAGCAACCAAATTTATTTCCAAGGAATCAATCTTCGCTCTTTGAAGATTCCGACAGACATCAACACAAGCATCCATTTTTCCTAAACGATATAGAATCTGAGCTTCTAACAACATACTTGAATGAGTCTTATCTTGTTTCTCCAACAATACCAAAGCTTCATCCAACTTGTTTTGTCTGTATAGGCAATATGCCTATTTAGAGATACCAATATAAAAAAGAACATCAATACAAATAAGCAAATAAATTTTGTGATATTTATGCAGCCAAGATATGGTGATAAATTATTGATCAAATAATATTAAATATCAGAAAAGCAAACATGAGGTGCAAGAGTAAAACATGAAAAAACAGGTCAAGTTGTATACTTGTACACACTATGTGTAAACCATCAAAAAGAAGAAATAAGAGCTAATGGAAGAATAAGATAAATAACGAAGAACTCAAACTCTGAATCATGATGACCTGTCTTCCCAAATCATTCTACTGAATAATACATCAACCAAAGCAAATACAAGTAACTTAATCTCTGTATGGTTGTTGTTTTTACTACTTGTTTTTTACTATTTAAGATTTGCTTTCTCATGATTTGCTAATTATGATTAAAAATGTGCATAGAACTAAAAAGTGATGCACATTAATACATAACTGTTTGGTATAAAATTAAAGTCCCATATTTTTCTATTTAGTTTTTTATTATTAAAGACTATCCTTTGCTTGTATATCCAAATGCGAGTAACAAAAGCAACCATCAGACTGTGCCTTAATAAGTTTGAATCGGTAGCAGCATTCGAGTAAACTAAGCTGATCAATTTACGCAATGCAGTGAAAGCAAGCCACTCGCTAATCGCACAATATTGAAACTAAGAACAGGAAAA